GAGCCAGACATGAGCCTGCAGACGTGCAAATGCAGTTTTGCACAGGCGGTAAGAAAGGGATGGTTGACACATCATGCTGTCCTAAAAATACAGAGCCAACAAAAACACCTTCAAATACATTCATCAACAAAGATTCCACTATTATAACTGATTGAGCAGCTCAGGAATGGAGAAGCCCAGAGAGGCTGAGGCAGTTGCCTGTGGTTGCACAGTGCAGGGCAAGCCAAGGTGTTCCGGCGGTTCAGGCTTTCTTCTATGAGCCGACTGCTGATAAGGGACGCCTTTCATTCCATCCAAATGTGAAAATCAGTTAAAGCTATCCACAATTGCTACTCACTTTGAGCAAGGCTGTGTTCAGAAAAATCCTTGAACTGCAGGCTTAAAGTAAAGCAGAATAAAGCAACCGAGAAACTACTGGGATCAGCATCCGGCAGGGATGCTTTTATCAGCACCCATCCTCTCCTCGGAGCAAGCCGGCCAGCTGGCTGGCCACACTGTAACTCGTTCTCCATCCATCAGGGAAATAAAGCATCCCGTCCCAGAAATGATGCAGAGATGGCTGTTTTGCAGTGACCCAGCCTCTTCAAAGCATAGAAAATGTATTCTATCCCAAAAACCATTCGTGGCTCACACTTGGACTCCATTCTCAAACCAGAATAGAGCAAGAAATGTGATGGACATGTTTGCAATGCTTCCCCTAACCTGAATCAATGCTCCTTTCAAAACCATGGCTTACACAGAAATGATGGTGTGCCCCCCTCCTTAAGGAAGAGCTCCCCCTGCAAACACAACATGTTAATGAACCATCTCACCAGCCTACTGAGGGAACATACCATTTGGAGTGCCTGGAAGCTGGCAGAAAGTATTAAGCTCAACATCTCTCAAAATCCCTAATAACAGAATATCAGAAGGTCAGGATCCTATTAAATTCAAGCCTGTTTTTGCTACTTCCTGTGTCAATTTTTTGGCTCCGTCACAGGTTCGTATTTTCCAGCTTGCCCATACGATTTCTTTTTCTTCTTTCCCTGCTGTTCTTAACAGCACCCACATCACATGGATCCATCATCTTCCCTCCCTCCTCTTAATTCCTGCATCCTCCCTTCCTCCTTCCATCCTGCCTGTGCACAAATATTTATTAACCACCCTCTAGACCTCTGAAAGATGGCAGACCCCATGTGCTATGGGCGGCAGGACCTCTTTCTGTGACAGAGCATGACAGAGAGACACACCAGGGACTCAGTGGGATAGGGCATCAAGCTGAGGCCCGCGGGAGGACAGAAGGGTGACCATGTCAAAAGGGGAGCTCACAGAGATGTCCTGTAGTGGGAGAGTCCAGACACACCAAGGAGCTAGAAGACAAACTTCTAGCTAGGGAGCAGCACTTGTTAAGAGGCAGCTGGAGGGGATGGGCTGGGCCACTCCCCTCTGCTGGCCAGGCCTTGTGACTTCTGTCCAGACAGCAGAGGTAAGCCAGTGAATGGAGTCAGGGGATGAGAGGATGTTTGGAAGCTCTCTCTGCCTGCCTCCCTGTGCACTCTTCTCCCTTCTACAGATCCCTCCAGGGTGCACTTAACTGAGTCCTCCTTCATTACACATGTCTGTTTTGGTCCTTCATCCCCTCCCCCCACAACCATCGAATTCATGCTTCACCACTTCCCTTCCACAGAGCACAGCATACCTTTGTCTTCCTTTCCTTCCCTCCCTGTGTGCCCTGGAGAGGTGAGGTTGACTTCTGCTCCCCTGATCCAAGCTGAGCCCCTGACTACTCTGCCCAACAGGGTGTAGTGAAGGGGCTATTCTGGGGTTCTTATGATCAGTCCCTACAGAGCCTCGTGGCCCTCACTTCCTTCCTCTTTGAGCATCCCACTGGGGGATGCCCATACCAAGTGGAAAAGACTTTTAAAGGAAACTGAGGTGGCAGAGGTGACAGCCCCAGCTGAACTCCCAAATGCAGCTGCCATCCCTGCCCGCCATGGGGCTGCGGCCCTCCACATTCCAGCCTGTCTGAGCCCCAGCCCCCTACTTCCTGCCAACATCTCACATGCAGAGACAGGCAACCACATGGGTCCAGTCAGTCTACAGCCTGGTGAGAAGTAACATGCACACAATTTTTTAAGACACCAAGTTCAGGGTAGTCTGTCAAACAGCAAGGGATAAATGACACTGTGTCTATGACAGGCTTAAAATATATTCTGTAACCTGCTTATGCTACAACATGTTTGTGTGGACATGCAAGCCATATATTTAACAATTACTTCAGAAAGGATGCTCTGCCTCCCATTTCTCAGAAAAACTGAAGCTGAAGAGGAGGCAGCCTCCACAGATTCTATGAGAGGAAATAATGAATGTGGCCAGCAGGGAGGGGGGGAAAGAAGGAAAAAAAAAAAAAAAAAAAAAGTTATTTAGAGCTCAAGGGGAAACTGAGAGGAAAGGGTTTCTGGGGCCATTGGTTGAGTCAGACATGGGGGGCAGCATTATTTCTCAGGGCCTGCTCCCTGGTGACGGCAGGTGGAGACTATTCCTTTGCTCCTTGAAATTCAGTTTATATAGAATTCTTGGTAACTCTTCATTATCCAGCACATTAGAATCATCAAACATTTTATTTATTAGGGTTTGAGGCCCTCCATATAAACCATAAGAACCATCTCTATGGCCTTATTAAGATTCTACCGGGGCACCTGGGTGGCTCAATGGGTTAAGCCTCTGCCTTCAGCTCAGGTCACAATCTCAGGGCCCTGGGATCAAGTCCCAAATCGGGCTCCTTGCTCAGTGGCGAGCCTGCTTCCTCCTCTCTCTCTGTCTGCCTCTCTGCCTACTTGCAATCTCTCTGTCAAATAAATAAATAAAAATCTTTATAAAAAGAAAAGATTCTACCACATTGTAATATTTATTCTTAACTTCAAATGAAAAAGAACTAAGTTAGGCACAATGCAAAACCTTTACAGACATTTCCTTCTTCATTGCCATACCCTCTTACTCTAAGCGGAAATCCTCATTACCATCTCTGTAAATGCACTGCCATTCAGTCTTTGCCAAGTACCACACCGGGCATGCTAGGTACATCCACAGAGTGATCCTTTCCAAATTCTGTGAAGCTGGCATCTCCCCTGTGCTGCAAAGGAGGAGTCTGAGACTTCACAGTTGTACACACAGTAAACATTACAGCTAAGATTCCAACCCAGACTTCTCCAGTCCTGACTCGTTGTCCTTAAGGAGTCAACTGCAGTGCCCCTGTTAGGGGCTGAATTGTGTTTCCTTCAAATTCACACACTGAAGTCCTAGGTCCTATGCTGAAGTACCTCAGTACATGACTGTATTTGGACAGTCTTTAAAGAGGAAGCTAAGTTAAAATGAGGTCATTAGAGTGGGCCCTAATCCAGTATGATAGTTGTCCTCACAAGAGATCACAGAGCACAGACATGCACAGAGGGAGGACCATATGAAGACAGAAGGAGAAGATGGACATCTACAAGTTACAGGAGAGGAGCCTCAGAAGAAGGAAACCTGCTGACACCATAATCTTGGGCTTCCAGGCTCCAAAAGAAAATACATTTCTGGGGGGCACCTGGGTAGCTCAGTGGGTTAAGGCCTCTGCCTTCAGCTCAGTCATGGTCTCAGGGTCCTGGGATCAAGCCCCATGTCGGGCTCTCTCCTCAGCGGAGAGTCTGCTTCCCCCTCTCTCTCTGCCTGCCTCTCTGCCTGCTTGTAATCTCTCTCTCTGTTAAATAAATCTTAAAAAAAAAAAAAAAAAAAAGGAAAATACATTTCTGTGAGAAAACAAATTCTTGTTGTTCTGGTCACTCAGTCCGTGATATTTTCTTATGGCAGTCCTGGAACACTGATGACCCAAAAGATGAGCCATAGGATTTCATGTGCTTCACCTACTCCATAGGGGACCACGTACTCTGACTTTAGACATGTTGCAAAACTCAGGTATTGGAACTAATTTAAGGAGCTGAAGACTGGCAGCAAATCAGGAAGGGATAATATTCTTCTAGAAACAGGCCCAATAATTCAAATGAAATGTAATCTTCACAAATTAAATTAATAGCTGATGTAAGATAAGAATCATCCAGCCTCCTAGAAGCAGTCAATATAGGACAAACATGTCAGCTGGTCCCAGAATCACTCCGTGGAAATCAAAGGCAAGGGCCAATGGTCACACGGTTTCCTAAGTCAGGAAGGCATGGGGCTTCCTTCTTTTCCAGGTAGGACCAAAGGCAGCAGTTACCACTAGGAAACATCTTTCTTTTACATTAAGTTCATTATCATATTCTACCCCTTACTGGAAAGAGATGTTCTGGATCCCTATTTTGATTATGTAGTTTAGCCCAAAATTTTGTGCTTCTAGAAATTTACTCTGCCTGAATACTTGCCTTTTGGGCATCTGGTCTACAAATCAGAATGTCCTGGATTACTAATGAATCCCTCATTTCCTGACCTCAGGAGCAGGAGGACTATTAGAATATGACTGTTATGTGCCTTCTGTCACTCGACCTGTATCACAAGCTTCCAAGCACAGCTAGAGATGACAATCTCATGCACCCAGCTACACACAGTAGGACTCTCCCAATGCACGTTGGGGAATGCACCCAATGAGGACCTGGGTCCAAATAGTAGATTCCAGTCATGCACGCCATTGGCCAGCAACTTATGCTGTGACCATAATGCTGCCATTCAGGTGCAAAGGTACTTCCACATGCAAAAATGCCTCAGTGCCAATATGTACAAAAGTATGTATGTATCTATCATGCACAGTCCTAGAGACATGGTCATCATAGGGAGAGTAGTAAGTAATACAAGCCTGCATGCCACAGCAGAGAACATGGGAGAGTGGGACAGAAGGCTTCTCAAAGGCCTGGGCATTCACAAAGCATCATGGGCAGCAATGATCTCAATACAGATAATGTATCCGGTGTTTCTATAAAATATGTAAACATGCTTGGTTATTACATGTATGCAAGAATAAAATCATTTTTCCTTTTGTCCAGCGTGCTTACCTGTTATAGAGAAGAATGTCTGGCTTCCAAATCAGGCCATCTGGGAAACGGACAGTCTTCACACCCGGATATTCTGACATATTCCATTGTAAATAGTGATCTGTCCAAGACTGACACACGGATACAATGACATTAGCAGCACTTTGCTTCCCTGCCTACTTATATTTCTTCTACAAGATTATTAGATACATTCAGAGCCAAAACGACATCCAGATCCTTATTTACATAATTGAATTGTTATCTACAAAATATAAGGAAACTGGGAATTAAATAATCTCTTCCAAAATGACCATGAATATCAGCACAAAAAAATCACATTTAAGATTCTGCTGTCACCATGATTACATTCAGACGGTAGCAGTAAAGTTAATTCTGGTCCACTGCATGCCCCCAAGCCTTTCCCTCCCACAGCAGATGGAGTTTTTCTAGCCAAATGAGTGACTGTTCTGCTTTCAAAGTTCTCCACTGAAAGGACACTTGGGAAAAATAAATTCACTTATTTCAACTGGAATACGAACTAAGCTGGAAAAAAGGAGAATATTTATTTCCATGAAACAATTTTGTGCAGCTGCTGGGGAACCTCTCAGAACCTTCTAATGGGGGGCTGTTTTTGAACTGGAGTCGGTATTCTCATGCAGGAATAGTGCTCCCGATGTCACAACCGAAAAATGCAAACACTCGGCCTTGGTGGTCAAACACTAAATCAGGACAAGTGTGCAGATGAGGACTCAAGAAATAGTCCTGAACACGCCAGCACAGGTGCATCTCCTTGGGGCCAGGCCTTAAATTGGTTCTTGAGTGACCTCTGCCAGAGGAAGGCCCATGTCTGAGGTCCCTTGTCCAGTACCACATACCCCAGCCCTACCTGGAGTCCACTAGCTCTATAAAGACTGGTAAGTAAGGATCCCACAGGCAGCTGCTATACAAAGAGCACCACCAAGCCAGGGTTGCTGAGCTAGCCCATTTGGACTCAGCAGCTCCTATAAATGTGCCATAATCAGAGCAGACCCGAGCAAAGGCCCCATCCTGTATCCAGTCTCCCTGGGACTGGGACCACCTGTACTCTGGAGCTCAGACCTTCTCAGACTTAGAAAGGTATCTGATACAACACTTCCAGCTGGGACCAAGGCAACTCCCATAATCAAACATATCATTATTTCTGTAGCAAAACATGCATACTGATACTAAGTCAGAAAAATAAATGCCTTCACTGCATATCTATTTCAGTTTGATTTTTAAACTCCATGAGTCTGATGCAGAGTTACAAAAACAACATCAAGGGAGACAAAAGTCCTTTAATTTTCAAAGCTGTTGAGATTTGGGAATTGCAGCCAAGTGGTAGTGGATCACAGAGCATGTTCCAGAGATCCCTCCATCCTCTGGAGAAGACAGGTAAGTATCTGGAAAGGCAGTCCCACTTCTGGGACCATCTGAAGTCAGATGAGAGGGAATAGCTGGGAGAGTAATGTCACTTTACAGCCATGAGCCTCTGAGAATGAAGATTTTTCAATGTATAATGTGCTGGAGAATCACCTGGGGGGCATTTAGGATAGAAAGCCACCCCACTGATATTTCTAATTGATGTGGGTGGTTGGTGACCCCCAGAGGGCCAGTCTTGGTGAAGCTGGTTTGTAGGAATCCCTGGGCATCAACCAAACTGTGTTTTCTCCAGACTGCTCCATCTCTGTAGCCACTGGCCCAGGGCGCCATTCTTTTTCCTCCTTTGTCCTGGTGATGAGCCCATTCATACCCAACACCTGTGATTTCCTTACTAGGATCTCATCTTACCCTGGGATGCTTCTCTGGGTTGGTGACTCATTATCGCTTAGCCTGTCACTCTCACTATCAGAACCATGCTAATGAGGGTCACAGGGCTCCCAGAATGAAGGTGGGCATGGGAAGAAAATACCCATCTCCTCAGCCTGCTGAAATGAGGGGCAGAACAGGGAGGTAAGGCAGGGAGTGGGAGTGCTTGGTTGGTCAAAGCTCAGCCTCTTCTGATGGCACCATGTGAGAGCTCTTGGCTACCTCCCCAGCAATCTCCCCCTACCTGACTCATGATCTTAGCTGCATGTGTCCTGTAGGCATATACCCTGACCATCTTGTTTGTTTCAAGTCATGTGTACACCTCGCTGGCCATGATCCAGGAATGCTAGCATGACAACTATTCCTATTTACAAGAGGAGACTGGAGCACAGAGAAGCAACATCCTTTCTGTCAATCACTGGGTCAAGACTCAGGGCTGCATTGTTTGACTTCAAGAAGAGTGATCAGGATATAGAAGAAAGCAAGAGGGTGGAGGAGTAGCAGACTGAAATATCATCAGGTCCCAGGAGTTCAGCTACCTAGTTATCAGACTATTCTGAACACCTACAAACTCAACAGGAGATAGAAGAGAAGAAGAGCAGCAATTCTTGGAACAGAAAATCGACCACTATCTGGAAAGTAGGACATGTGGAGAAGTGAATCCAAAGCGACAGAAACATAGACCACGGGGAAAGGGGCCGGCTCCCAGGAAGTGAGAGAGCAGCGGAGCACAAAATTGGAACTTTTAGAAGTCTGCTCCACTGAGGGATGTCATTCCAGAGGCTAAGCGGAAGGTGGAGCCCTTGGAGGGACAGTGTGGTCTCAGGACCCATGGGGTCACAGAAAGACCAGGGGTGCCTGAGAGTGGCAGAGTTCCTAGGTATCAGAGTGATGAAGCCGGCTGCAGAGATGGAGCTGAGCAGTGGGCTCTCAGCTCAGGATTACCTTAAACTGTGGTCTGAGGCAGAGTTGGGCCACTGTTCTTCGAGTGGGGACCCCACAAGTGGCAGATCCAGAGACCCCCCTCCTTCCTCCTCTGGGAGAAGCGACACGGGAGCATGCTGCAGGAATCTGCTGGATTTGGAGACTCCAAACTGGATATAGAAATGCACGTCACAGTCTGGATGAGCACAGTGCTGGATGGCCGGAGACCAGGGAGACAGGAGGGATTAACTGCTTTTCTCTGAGAGCACACTGAGGAGTGGGGCCCTGAGCTCTTTGCTCCTCTGGAGAGGAGATTGGGAGGCTGCCATATTCATTCTCATCCTCCAAAGCTGTATGGAAAGCGTTCAGGGAACAAAACCTACCTAGAGTGAACCCGAGCAGATTACTTAGCCTGGCCCCTGGCAATATCAAGGGCAGTGCAATTCCGCCTCAGGCAAAGACATCTGAGAATCACTGCAAGAGGCCCCTCCCCCGGATCAGCAAGAACATCCAGCCAAGACCAAGCTTGCCCATCAGTGAGAACTATGGAACTCCAGAGCTAGGGGAAAGCAATACATAGAATTCATGGCTTTCCCCCGTGATCCTTTTGTCGTTCAAAGATAAATTTTTTAAATTTTATTTTTTTCTTGTACTATTTTTTTAACTTTTCTTCTTTCCTATTTTAACATTTTTAACTATTTTATCTTATTAATACCTTTTTTTAAAAAACTTTTTAAGTTTTCATTGGTATAGTCATATTTTATCCCTTCATTGTATTTAACCTTATTTTTTGTATACGTATAGATTTTTTTTCTTAAAAATCTGGATATATTCTCTAATAGATCAAAATATACCCTAAATCTAGTGCACAGATTTGTTCTAGTCTCCAATCTGATCACATTTTCTCCTCCTTTTTTCTTTTTCCAAATAACTTATTAATTCCTTTTTTAGAATCTTTTTTTAAATTTTTGTCTGTATAGTCATATTCCATCCCTTCATCGTGTTTACCCTTATTTTCATATATATTTAAATTTTTCTTTCTTTAAAATTTTGGGAGGTAGTTTCTTCTAAGAGACCAAAATACACCCAAAATTAAGTGGGTGGCTCTGTTCTATTCACCAGTCTAATATATATATAATTTTATTTATTTTTTATTTTTTCATTTTGCCCCCTTTCTTCTCCCCCTGGTTTTGTGTCTCTTCGATTTGGTTAGCATCTTATTTTTCTGGGGTCTTTGCCACCGTTCTTAGTATTTCATTCTCTCATTCTTCTATTCTTATCTGGATAAAATGACAAGGCAGAAAAATTCACCACAAAAAAAAAAAAAGAATTAGAAGAAGAAGAACTAGAGGCGGTAACAACAGCTAGGGATCTAATCAATATGGACATTAGCAATATGTCAGAACTAGAGTTCAGAATGATGATTATCAAGGTGCTAGCTGGGCTCTAAAAAAGCATGGAAGATATTAGAGAAACCCTTTCTGGAGAAATAAGAGTCCTTTCTGGAGAGATAAAAGAACTAAAGTCTAACAAAGTTGATATCAAAAAAGCTATTAATGAAGTATAATAAAAAATGGAGGCTCTTACTGCTCAGATATATGAGGCAGAAGATAGAATTAGTGTTATAGAAAACCAAATGCTGGAGAATAAAGAAGCTAGGCAAAAGAGAGACAAACAACTACTGGACCATAAGGGGAGACTTCAAAAGATAAGTGATACCTATTGGGGCGACGGCCCAGGAATGCAGGAGGAATAATAGAAATGACCGCCGGGGCCGTCATCTTCCAGCCCCCTTCCCACCTTCCTCAACCCTTGACCCTCCCGCCAAAAGGATGTATGCCCAGGTCACATCTCCATAGGTAACCTGATACCTATGCAGGAAACAGAGGTATCAGGATGTCCCCCCCATACCCTCCGATCACCAAATACCCTACCATATACAGATGTGAGCCCATGCCTTGCCTTGGCCCGATAAAAGACCCCCGCTGCCTCCCTCCCAGCGTGACTTCCCCGACTCTGCTTTCCAGAGTCGCGGAACCTCGCCCGAGGGTGCCCGCCTCCTCCCCACGTGACTTTTTTGGCTCCCCTTCTCTTGAGCCCTGAAACTTCGCTGGAGAGTGCCTTTAATAAATCTTGCCTTGTGCCTACCTTGCCTGGTCTCATGTTTATCTTGCCTATAAAACTTTACAATACCATAAGACAAAATAATATTGGAATAACTGGGATCTCAGAAGAAGAGAAAGAGAAAGAGAGAGAGAGAGAGCAGCAGAAGGAGGGTGTATTGGAGCAAATTATAGCAGAGAATTTCCCTAATATGGCAATAGGAACAAGCATCAAAATCCAGGAGGCACAGAGAACCCCCCTCAAAATCCACACTCCA